AATGAATTTGACTTGCACTGGGCATGAGATGAGAAACCATTTGATTTAGTCCAGTCTTCTCATTTACAAATGCAACGTAGGCCAAAGAAATCAAGGCAGGTATCCATGATCATCCAGCCTCATGGTGCAAGAGCTGGGATGAAAACCTGCCTCCTGCCTCTGGCACTCTTCCGGCCACCCTGCCTGCCCTGGGGATACATAGCCACGTGCAGGTGCAGACTTCCAAGTGCAGTGGTCTGAGAGGAAGAAAAGTGCTGTGGGCTCCTCCAGCAGCTGTATTTCAACATGGTTCGTCTTGGTTGTTCCCCTGCTGTGTCCCTATCTACCTATAGAAGCCTCATAGCAAACACAGAAAGGCTCAGACCTCTTATTTCAGAGGAATACTCTGCCGAATATTGCCTTCCTTTGTTTTGCTATGGAGATAAATCCTTCAGATTTTCCCAATGTCCATTAGCTGTGCAGTCTCATAAGGCCTCCCCTATTTCTTATTTGCATTCATTTTTAAGCTATTTGGATATAATAAACATAAAATAAAATTTCTACAGTCCTAAGAAGTTTGGTCACCATTCTCAGTATTACCCCCTCACCCTGAAAGTTAGTAAGACTGAATATTAAGTGGTATTTAAAATTAATTTGAAAACAGGATTAGTAGCTGAGGAGAGAATGTGAACTCGCCACCAAATACAGCTTAACCTGGACCATTTTGGCCCAATACTCATTGTCTTCTTGTTTTACTTTGAACAAGCTCAAGCCCTTTTTTCCCCTTCTATCTCCTTTAGATCTTATGACCACTGTCCTCTGGACACAGGCCAAATCCTCTAATATCACTTTATGATGAAGGTCAGACCAGTGCTAAGTATAGAAGAAAATGACTTTGTGTTGTCATGTGCATTGTCTCCTCTTTTTTAATCATCTCCTAGCCTGTATCCAGTGGACAAAGTGACATGAAATAATTTGCTTGTGGAGAGAACTCATCCTGAATTCTCTTGCCTCATTCTTACCCTTCCTCTTATAGCAGAGCTCCCAGTCTAGACTATATGAGATTTACCTTATCATCATAGCTTGCACTCACATTCGGTTTTATAACACTATTTCTTTTTCCCAACCAAGGTAATTTCGTGTTTATTTGTATATGTTGTCTATAAATGAGCTTGACATCTCACCAGCTTGAGCCATTAGGGTTAGCATTGATTTGCATCCTTTAGTATCATTTCCCCTTTCAGTAAAATTGCCTGTCACTAGAACCTGAGGGCATAAAAGACCACAGAGGTCTTTTGGTTTCTATTTTTAGGAGAGTGGTGCTCCTCGGGGAGCTATCTGAGCTGGATTTGATGAGAAGCTAAGAATGAGTGCTTGCTGGAGGTAATTTCGTTATCAAAACTCAGGGTCATGTGCTTGGGAGTTAGCAGCCAGAAAAAAAAAAAAAATAAAAAATGTCAAAGCTAATAGGACAGCAAAGCACATGCAGAAATGCAGATATGAATGGGGGACTGCCATGAGCAGTAAGCCATAACAAAGCTTGACAAGAAACATTTCTGCAGTTCCTGTTTACCATCTAAACTGGAGCATTACAGCATTTGCTGCATGCGGGAGATGGAGAAGGAGAGTGCTCAAAGTTGCCACCAAAGAAAGCCTCATTAACACCCTAACTGATTTCCCCAGCTTCCAGAAAGTCTTTCTGTTGGAATTCAGCATCTCAGCTGTAAGACTGCCGAGTGGAAGTACAGAAATGCGATTTGCTGTCTGCGGAGCCGCAAGTGGACTTTGAGCATATTCTAAGACAAAAATCTGGCCAGACCTTAATAGGCCAGGGCTTTCCACTGATTTGCCCCTCTCCTGCTAACTGCTGAATAATGTTCTTCCCCTTCACCACATGTGCCCCTGAGCGCCTCACCACACCTTCAGCTCCTGGGAGAGACCCCAGGGCAGAACTGACCTCCTCATTCCTGGCTCCTTATTCCAGATTGGAATCTGGAGCTTTGACACACACACACCTTCTCAGCACCTTGTCCCACCCTACAAGTCTTGTCCTTTTTGCTCCTGTCAGGCAGGCAGCCACCCCCAATATGACAAAGATATTCTCACATGGGGTTTATCAGGAAGCGCCATCAGGGAGGGTGGGGCAGCACCAAGCTATGAGTCAGGGAGGAAGATCAGGGACCCAGTTCCTGCCTTACAGACCCTCTACCCCATCTGTGCCTCTGTGGTGTCTTAGCATCCACCCACTTTTCCCCAGCCTTGGGACTCTGCGCTCTGCTATCACTGTCACCGGACAGGCCAGACATGGCCCTGCTGGAGAGGAGGCTTTCGGGCTACCCTCTGGCCTTTGTTGGACAGCAGGCTTAAGGAAATGGGCAAAAGCATTGATCAGC